AGTACATCTCAATTGCGAGTTGCGTTCTCCCTAGTCCGTACAAGGTGACAAAACACTGATAGTTAAATTTTAACACAATTTAAAATTATATCTCACAATGCCATTAAATTTAACTAAGTCTTAATTCACAAACGCTATTCCCATCCCAACTAGACTTTAGTAAAGTTTCGACCTCGCGTGGGTTTCATAGACAGTCAAAACGGGCAGACAAGTGAGATCGAAACTGTAGTCAGGCTTGGATGAGACGACATTTGCGGCGACAAAATCAAGTGAACTTTAGTGGCTTCGTAAGACCAACAATAGTCCCGTCATCACGTTATGCGACTTAAGATGAACACAGCTCTTACTCAAGATCTAGCGGTAGGTTAACTCTGTCTATCCGGTTTCGATTCCCCATGGCGGTCCTGCTACCACCCAGACGAGATCGCATCTTCAGTCCGGCCTAGCCTAGATGAGCATACCCATTGGATGACAAGACCAAGTGAACTTCAATTGTAGATACTAAGAGAAACTGGGTTTCGATGAATATCCAGTAATAAAATTGTACGAAAGTGTATGAATAAGAGATTCGTAAGTCGATCTGATCAGGAAAGGACGGATGACTCCCGTTGTGCTGCCGCCGTTTGGCTTTTATACGACGTTCCGATTGACAGAGTCAGAAGTGGCCGAACCTGTGGTAGAAACTGGACATGAAATATAATGGTCTCAAACTAGTGGGTTTGCTACTTATGGTACGTCTGTGGTTAAAAGAAAGATAAGAGAGGCTATTGAAATGTAAAGCATATGAGATACATTGAATATGACGAACGGTGGTGGAAAATTGAGTAGGAACTACTTATGCTTCATTGATAGATTGAAAGAGAGAGAGGGTGTTGAGTTGCTAGCAGAAAGAAGGCTACTCAATTTCTTTGCTCGGTGATGATTGTTACTTCCCTCACACTCGTCCAACATGTTAGATTAAGCTCATCAACCAAGCCAGACGTGCCAGATTACTCAACCCCAGTCATGCCTTTATTTGGGAGATTAAACGCTAATGACCCTAAACTGAGAGGTTGGTTTCGTAACTTGACTTACATGCTTACAAGCTCATATCTCAACCATACTTGCTCACGGACTTACGCAGTTTAGGTCAAGGCTTTCTCTTGGGTCATTAGGTATTGAGGCTCATTAGCCTATTGGCCACTCTGAATTAGGACCGGTATTGCATATAGACGCTAGCACACACACATACACACGCACACTCTAGCAAATGTAGCAGGACCAGTATGAAGGATAATTAGCCAAACCACTCTAT